GGTTCACTTTCTTCAGTTTTTGGTGGTTCTTCTTTCTTTTTTGTTTCATGTTGAACAACTACCCCACCAAATTTAGCCATTTTACCATTTATTGGACGTTTAGCATGTTCACTATCGAGATATTTTTTTAATTCAGGTAATTCTCTAAATGCTTTCATATAAGCAAGTATTTTAGGGTATTCAGCCCAATCATCATTTGATAAAAGCCAACAATGATCAAGATATTCAAATAATTGAAAATCAGCTGCTGTTATTGTATCACTTATTAACCATTTTTTTCCTTGTCGTACAAGAAAATCTTCAAATAATTTTAAATGTATTGGTAAAGTTTCGTCACAAAATTTTTTTTTTACAGCTTCAAAATTAATAGCACGATAACAAACATTATTTAATTCTTGTCGTAAATCATTTGATTGATCAATAAGTAATTCAATCATTGATGTTTCAGCTTCATTATTACCCATTAATTTAAATTTACGACCAAGATGTGTTAAAATTGTTTTAGCTTGTGATAATTTTAAATTACCATCAATTAAATATGGTAAATTTGGAAAATCAAGACCTAAAGAATTTTTTTCTTTAAGCCATTCTTCACGTTCAAATTTTGGTGCATCACCAAAATGATATAATTTATTTGTAAATGGTGTTTTTGTATAATGAAGTAATAAACGAGATGGTTCAGCAAAGCCTCGAATATCCCAATAACCAAGAATAATTTGATCCTTTGATGCCATTCCTTAATATTAGATAGAAAAAAGAAAAGTATATCACACTGTCTTGTTAATATGTTTCTATCTATAGAATATATGATTTTTTTGTTATGAGAATGGAAAAGAATGATGGCATATATATATATACATATAGATAGTTCGCTGATATTGGTATTCCTATAGAGAACAGAAAAAAATAACTATTCCGGGTGAAAAGAGACGAGTAGAACAATTCTAATTTCTTATCTTTTTCCTCGTTCCATACGCCTACGTATGTACATACCAAAATAGCACCATCCTACCACTAGATAGTTTGTTTTTTTTTGCAGAATGTACAAAATAGACGATCTTAGTGTGGCTTACTATTATATTTGCATAAAAGAATAATATCCAATGCAAATAGACAATCAAGTTGCATTGGCAAAAATCTTTATCATTTCTTTAATTGATAAACTATGACCAATGAGAACTTCAAACGACAGAACCTTAATCAGCATGTTATGTTTTTTTTTCTAAATTAGTTCAGAAATCTATCATTTATATTTTAATTAAAACCTTTAATATAACCTGATTCCAAACCATAAAATAGGCCAATTAATGAGTTTTATTACGCTAATTTTCACATCTACATGTTCATCTGTCTCTACTATTGGGTTTGTTCTACTAATAGTTATATTTAATAACTATTCATTCTATTTTGTTATTTTTTTATATTCTACAACGAATAAAACCAATATCATCATTGAATTTTTTTTCTCTGTAATACGTATTTACGAGAGTTAATATGGCCTTTTTTTACATTGCTAGAAGGCTAGTGATCCAACAAGTAGTAAACTTGAAATTGTTTGACATTGGTGCAGTTTTAGTAATCTGATCATATGAAATCAGTGGAGGTAATGTATCGACGAAAGACAAAAATATTTTTAGTCTACATCCTCTTTAGATTTTATTAAAGAATAATCAGAAGAAAAAAAAAAAGAGTGAACTATTTTAGTTTTGGTTTTCACATCATAGGAAGGAAAATGGATTTGTTCAATATCATATGATATTTGCTAATGGATGGGCGGTTTTTCGAGGATTTCTTTGGATGATGTTCTTCACTTTATTAGTATTTCTAAAATTGATTAATGTCTGTAAATGAGAAAAAAAAATTCAGTTAGAGAAAAACAAATGATCAATTATATTTTTATTCATACTTTTTATTTTGACCACTTGTTGAACTATGGGATTGGCTTGCAGCTCTATGATGAGCTGTTTGAGCACCTGGTAGCATACTAGCACTACTACCACCACCAACTCCTGATCGTTCTGTACCAGATGGACCATCTGTAGCAATAAATTGGCCAGAACCAGAAACAATATGATGTCCACCTTTAGCTTCAGGTACTTTAACTGGTGTACCAGGTGGAAGATTATGTGCGCTCATACGTGATACATAGAGTATGTTCCATGTTGTACGAGGTATAAGACGACAAAGTTGAGACATATTCAGTTTCAATAGAAAATATGTATCTAAAAATAGAATATAATAAAAATATTTATTCACCTACACGTTCTACAATGATTGATTTTTTGATTCACGAACATTTAAAAAAAGTATTATATAAATTTCAATATTCACATATATTAGTTAAAATGAATTCTTTAATTGATAGAAAATTAAAATCAGAAACCAAAAAAAAAAAGAAGATTATTATTTGTAAATATCACGGTTTTAAATTATTACATAATGATATCTGTTAAATAAAAATTAATTAAGAAAAATCAATTAAAATAAAAATACAAAATTATTGAGCAATTGTAGGAAATGCCGTTATACGAAGTCGAGCTGCACCCATTGGTATTAATGTAATCATTTCATCAGATTCTTGACTATGAACAGGTGATTGTGGTAATAATCCAACAACATTTTGACTATCTGCTTTCCATTCAGGAATACGACGAGCTCGAACTTCAATATTGAGTGGTGCAGTATCTTTTGTAAAAGGATTTTCATAATTATTTTTCTTTTTATTTCGTTTAATTAACCATTCATTTGCACTTGTTATAACTAAACCATAATTCCAATTTGATTTTGATATTACTTCAAATTCTGGCCAATCATCTGTACCACCAATACGATTATATTGTTCACTAATACCTAATGAAAATGTTAAAGGACCATAGGATAATGAAACAGAATTATGATTTGATGTCCAAGTTTTTATTCTTAATGATAATGGTAATGTCAATGATAAAACATCATCATTTATCCAAAGACGATCAATAATAAGATATGAACCATTATTTGGTGTTATTTCATTAAATAGAATATTTCCATTTAATGAAAGTATTGGTGCTCGTTTACACCAATATGGTATACGTAAATAAAGTTTGAATTGTATGGATGTTGATAATTGAAAACGAAATTGAATATTTCCATCAAATGGATAATCTGTTTCTTCAATAATTGTTACTTTGATACCATCATTTGGACCAACTAATGCTGTTACTTGACTTGATACATATAATGATGCACATAAACCACCATCATATGTTGCTAACCATGCTTCTTCAGCATAATATGGCCAACCCATTCCATGATTATGCGTACAACAACGATATTGATGAACACCTGGTTTATATGAAAGCATAGCAAAATTATTATCAAATTGTTGTTGACTTTTAACTTGATCATCAAGTTGAATACAATTTGCACAAGTTATATAATGTGTACCACGTGCAACAAATGGATCGAATGCAGCTGGTAATGTATTAAATGCTAATGTTTCACATCGATCAGTCCATATACAATCACCCGTAATTCGTGTGAGAATTTCAAAACTATGCATAAATTCAACAATACCACATGTTTCAATACCTTGTCGAGGATCATCAAAACCAACTCGACAATTTTCATCACCAGCAAAACCTCCACCTGGAAATTGTCCATATTGATTCATAACAATTTGATAATCATCATAAGTTGCTTGAATAAAACGAGGATCAGATGGATTAACAACAAGTGAATATAATGCTGGTTCACGAAATCCTTGTGCAATATTTACATTATGCCATGTTGGTAAACCTGTTAGCCAATTAGCTGAATTTAAATGAATTTTTTTAATTAAATCAAGTAACCAATCTGTATCAGTTGTTCGATTATATAACCATATAATAGTATCAATATTATCTGACCATCGTGTATAACTCCAACCACGAGCAAATACATCGGTTGGTTGTTGATGAATAAATTGAAAATATTTTAAAAGAAATGGTATAACACGAGCATCATTATTATATTCATATAATGAACAAAAAACATTTAATAATGGCATTGCTGGCCATAAATCAGGACCACCTTCAAGTGATGTACGTAAATTATTTGGACCAAACCATCCATCAGATTGTTGACTACTTAATATTCCATCAATCCAACGATTTGTTAATGTTAAAACATTTTGATCACCAGTTACAAAACCAAGATCAGCAAATCCTCGTAACCAATATGGTAATTCTTCCCAAGCTGATTTAGTTGGATCAACCCAACCACATTGATCATAAACAAGATAATCAGATATTTCCCAAAGTTTGCCATTTAAACCATCGATTTGTAATCTTAATTGACCAAGTAACCAACCATCTGGTTTAATTGAACCAGGCGGAAGTTTTTGAAATGGAACCGGTTGAAGTGGTGCTCGATTGGGATAATAATGACCAGTTGATGTATCATCCAATGATGATGATGATGATACTTCTACACGACTAACAACTCGAACAGTCATCTGGAAAAAGAATATTCGAAATGAACGTCTTTGTTTTAAAATTTAATCACAATTTTTTTAATGTATTATACTCAAAGAAAAATTTCAACTGTTTTCTAGATTACATGAAAGCATTCATTAAAATATTTCAATAATTGGAATTTATCTAAAAACCACAAAATTCTTTGTCAGAAAAAAATAAAACAAATAATTTCTTTTTTGTATAGCGAAACAATCAAATATATTTTTCTTGATATAAATGTATATATATATATGAAAATTAGTTCTGTACTGCGAAAACAACTTTTGTACACCATCACAATAGAAGAAAAAACAAATTGGAAGAATTAATACACCGTTATATATATAAAAAAAAACAGAGAAAAGAAAAAACATAACAAATGATCAAATTTTGTTCACAACGAACATTGCACATGAAAAGAAAGAAGAAGAAAACCAGTTTTTTAATTGACTAGTTAGATATATATATATATGTATATACATCTCACTGTTAATAAAAAAAGAAATAATATAGCATAAAAATGAATTAAGAAAGAAATAGAATTTGTGGTAGTGTAGTTGATGTTGATGATGATAGACGACTTTCAATAGTATGTAAACGACGATCACGATCAACAACATATAATCGACGTCGATCAAATTTTGGTACACATATTGCAACAATTGCATGTGAACGTAATTGACTAATATCAAGTTGACGTAATAATGTTAAATCCCATGTTGACCACATTGATATAATACCATTTTCAAAACCACCTAAAAGAACATTAACACATGTTCCTTCGGGTGCTGATGTAAAACATAAACAATTTAATTGTTCAGAAAATGTTAAACAACCAATTAAATCACAATTACATGTTAAATAAGATAGATGCCATTGACTACCACTCGATGATAAATATGCTATGTCACCAGTTGTATCAGATGATGTTAAATGATAAATTGTTTGATTATCTTGTTTATATGTTCGAACATATGATAAACTAAAAATTAAATTATATTCATTTTAATTAAATGTAAATCAAGAAAGAACTTTTTTTTTTCTTTTAGATTGAAATTTTCAATAGAAGTGAAAGAAAAGTACCTCTTATCTGACAAAACAAAATTTCTGATTTTTCTTTTTCAATAATACAATATTGAAAAATGTAATATTTTTGTTTAGGAACACAAATTAATAATCATGCTTACGAGAGAACCATCTGAAACGATGGTTCATGTTCGAGATGAGACTCCAGTCATCATGTAAGGCCTGTTGAGATTAAAATAAATCTAGAAAAGATCTCCTTCATGCACTGCTCTTTCGAATTCATGATTGCTACACTAGGTTTCTCGAACCCGTTAGAAATTCTTGGTCTATATTTTTTGAATTTGATATTTCCTACATTCATTCTTTTTGCGATATTCATAAATTTGAGAAAAAAAAAGAAAGAAACTACATACCGATTAGTATCCCATAAAGTTAACATTCCATCAGCACTTGCACTAATTAATAAACTAAATTGTCGATTAGCATATAAACAAGTAATTGGTGAACGATGTGCAATAAATGGTAAATAACGTTTAATTAATTCCATACCAGTTGGTGTACTTTTATTTCGTTGAATACGATAAATTTCAATTAAACCAGAAGTTTTTCCCATAAATAATAATCGATAATCAATAGATGCACAACATGTTATTTTATCTTGATCATCAATAGGTACAAGAAAATTATACCAAGTTTTTATTTGTTTTAATGATCTACAACGTACAATACCATCAGGTGTATTCCATTTTAATGCAACCATTGTATCTAATGTCATTGTTAATGAATTTGATTGAGATAAATTACTTTGTTCACCAATTGATTCATTTAATATGTGTTCATTATATATAATTAATGATGATGATGGTAAACAAATAATACATGAACTTGTATTAAGTACAACAAATGATGATACTTGTACTGGACACTCATGATATTTAATATAATCTGGTGATGGCATATCATAAGAACCAACAAAATCTCCCCAACGTATACCAATTATTAGACGATGAATACTTTCATTTGGTAGTTTTGATTCAAATACACTACGTTCACTATTACGTTTATCATTTGTATTTGAATTTGATGTTGAAGATGATGTTGAACTACTTGTGCTAACTGATGGATGTGGATGAAAAAATAATTGCTAAAAGACATATATATTTTTAAACAAAAAAAAAAAACAAAAAATTTAATTTTACTTTTGGTACTTGACCATATGTACGAATAATTCCATAATAAGCTTTTTGAGTTAATTGATCATTTATATTTTCAATTGGAAAACCATAATAACAAGCAGCATGATATACATTTATTGCATCAAGAGCTGCTTTTCCTATATTGAAAGAAAAACTGTGAAAATTTTTGATAGATAAACACATCTAAATTTACCTGTTTGTTTATATCCAAATATAAGATCGATCCATTGATGTATATGTGTAGTTACATAATCAGATTCAAGTGCTTGTCGAAGACCATATACAAATAAACGAGCATTACGTTTTGACCATGATGGTACAGTAACATCAGATACTTTTATACCCTTTAAATGAAAATATGAAATAGAAATGAAATTTTAATAATTATATATTATCTTACATTTTGTCTGTTACCAAAATTAAAGCCTTGTTTATTTAATAGAAATTCATGTAAATAATAAAATTCTGGTATTAATTCTTTAAAATCTGATGTTGATTCAAATGATGATAACCAATATGATGTTTTAACATCATGAAATGTTCGATCAGCACAATCAAAATTATTATCTTGATAATCAAGAAACATTCGTGTATATGGTAAAAGACGTACAAGATAATGAAGAACAATGCCAGAATTAGAATATAATGAAGCATAATGATATGGATCTGATTGATGACCAAATACTGATAATGGTTGTTGTTTTTCATGATCTTGTTGACGTGCTAAAGCAACATTTTGAGAGTCTTCTAAAGCATGATATATATCAATAAATTTTTCTTCTTTTTCAGAATGTTGAATTGCTATTGGTTTAGATAGATTACGATAATTTGATGATAAACGTAAATCAAGTACTTGAGTTTCATAATTTGCAACTATATATGGATATACAGGATATTGCATCAAATCTATAAAATCAAAAAAAAAAAAAAAGAATTACATTTTGTGTTGAACAGGGAAAACAGAGTGTGAATCATTGAGTCAGATTTTCGAATTATTTGTAAGTAATTCCTGAAAAATGAAATCATCGAGTTTCGTTCTAAAATTTTGCTCATAAATAGGTGTGATGACCTTTAGAATATACTGGAAATTTTGAGTCAAAAACAATATTCATTAGTCAAGATACAAAGTTTTTCATAATAGCTCTGTTTGTCTTTGACGAAAGAGCATTCATATCTATTGAAATTTTCAAGATATTTTGATTTTTTAGGAACTATCTGAAAATCAATCGACCATGACTGATTTGCATTGACATCATAGTTAGGAGCCATTTGTAATTCTCTAAATTGCTTACAACTACGATAAAAAAAAATAAGTGTCTGGATAGTTTTTTAGATTATCTAAATCTTTTTCAAACTGTCTATACATATGAAATTTATTATTGTACGTATATAAGAGATTTTTTATTAGAAATATTTACCTAAAAATGTTCGTCCAGCTAATTTATTTAATTGCATTAAATAATCAAAATTAGTCATTTGACCTTGTCGCCATGATGTTTGTATTCCATTAACTGTTTCTTCATATTTAAAATGTATTAAATTACGTTTTGTTAATAAACGATAAAGATTTTCTCTATCATAAGTTGAAACATGTGCAATCATTAATGTAATACCATGAATAAAAAATAATTCCAATGCAACATCTTTTAACATATAACGTCTTTTATGCATTTCACATATATCATCAATAGCAAATGAAAATGAATTTGAATCATCATTAAATGAATGATAATTATAACCAACAGTTGACATAACTGAATTAATACTTTTTTTCGTCAATACTGATAATTGTTCATCAGCAACAAAATAAATTCGTGTTTTACCAACAAGTAATTCACCTTTAATTTCATTATTTGGTGTAACATTCGTACAACGACATTGATATTCAATTTTTTCATTACGATAAAGAACTGTTTGCATATTAACTGATTGATAATGACGTGTATCAAATAAATATGATAATGGAGGATTAACAAATATTTCATCAGGTATTTGAGGTTGAAAAAAGCGTTTTTCCATTAAACAATATGAACGTTGTAAACGACGACGTTCACGTTGAGGATTTTCTGTTGGATCAAGTTCCCAAAATTTTGCATATGATAATGGTTCAAACCAAACACCATATTCATGTGTTAATTGTGATATTAATTGATGCCATAAATGTTTGGTACGTAGATCAAGACTTTGTGCTAAACGAAGATGTTCAAGATATTTTTTACGTTCAAAACCTTGAAGATTTATCACATCTTGTGTTATTTCCATAGCCCCTGCTGTTATTGTTGATATAGTTTCTTTTGTAAAGGTTTCTAATGAACTTTTTTGTGCTGATATTGCACGTTGTTGTATTGCATAAATTGTTTGATTAAGATTTTTTGTGTATTCAAGACGTTTTTCATCAACAACTGATGACCAACTAACTAATGTCGGTGATGGAGATGATATATTTGATGATCGACGATGGAAACGTTTAGGTGAAACCGATTTATTGATACGATTTGGTAATCGAGAATCATTTGAAGGTGCAGATACTGACCAATCAAATGAACGACGTTGAGGTAGTGTTTGAGAACTATGACGAAATGTTGGTGAAGCTAAATGAAAATTATATATTTATATAGATATACAATGTGATAAGACTGAAATCTATTGAGAAGAACTCAATGTTAATTTTAATATAAGTTTTATGATTTTAGACTATCAATGAAGTTTCAGATAAAATAGATATTCATCTGGATGTTGAGAATAGGCTTTTGAAAGCATAGGCATATAATAGAGGTATGCTGGGTAAACTTTTTTCCACACCCCGGGTTCTCACTGAGAAAAATTTTCTAATCGTTATGCTACCCTACGCTGCAAGAAAGAGTAAGATAATGTAACTCTGTATATTTGTACTACAAGGTTTGAGAGGACCAATCCGATCTTCGAATACATCAGTTCAGATAAGAGAACGTTTTCCATAGTTTCTCGTACCTGAGCTAGAATGAAACTAGTCAATCCTTAATATTGAATATTTACGTCTTTACTATGTTATTATTGATAAGAATTTCAATGCATTTTTAATGGGTGAAGAAGAAAGACCTATGAACACGAAGTTTTTTTCAAATGTTTTAACTACATTAGATCTAATAAGATAATTTTCAAATTCATGAAAGTTAAGCCCTTTATTAGTTTTTTTGTTTAATTTAGTATTTTATTTCATAGGAATGAAAGACTTCCTACTAAAGTTTAAATCTTACGTGTTGATTCTGATGATATAAGTAAATAGTTGGTAAGTGCTCGTCGTTGTGCTGCAGTATTGTCATTTGCTGTTACTGAATGAATATTAATTGTACGCATAAGCTCTCGAAATGAATTAATAATGTTTTGATAATCATCAATCGATAATTGTTGTAATGATGTTAATTCATTACCAATTGATGAAATTGAAAGTGATGATGATGATGATGATCGTCCAAAATTTTTTCTTGTTTTTATTTCTCGTTCATCATTTGTTGTTATTGAACTAGAAAATTGACCAACATTCTGTTCTTCATCTGTTGTTGATAATTTTTCATTAGTAATTTTAATTTTTATAGGACGTTTTATTTGTTTAGTTAAATTTGATTTTGTTGATATATTTATCGTATGTGATGATGAATCTTCTCCATTTGATAATATTTGACTTCTATGCATAATTGTTCTTAGTGTTGAATGTTCTGAATCAAATGGTTTTCTTGATTGTTTAAATAAATTTTGATATTGATTATTAGTTTGTTCGAATTCAAAATCATTTGGTGTTGTATTTGAAAGTATATTTAAATAAATAAGTATTTGATGATATAAATAACATTGTGTATCATTCATTAAAAGATATTCCATAATGGCTTTTGAATTTGGTTGTTCAATAATAAGTTTTAATATTCGTATACGAAATATAAAACGTTGTTTATCTGGATCAAGTGAAATAGTTAATAATTTTTGTCCTATTTGTTTAATAATATCACCACAACGAAACATAATTAATGATATTTGATGACGTGAATTTAAATGATTTGAACGTTTTTCAATAACATATGCAATACCAAGTAAACATATTTCTAATAAATGTAATGCAAATGTTTCAAATAATGAACATTGATTATGAAATAAATAAATATAATCAAGTGATAATTGTAAAAATTTACGAAATCTATTTGAATGTTCAATGGCCTTTACATTAAAATTATTACCATCAAGACTGTTTCGTTGTAATTTTGATTGATGTGTTGTTATATCATTTGATGGTGGTTTTTCAATTGAATTAATTATTGAATTAAACATATTTGATAGTGTTTGATGGCATATACATCGATATATTTTAGAACAATCTAAATTAAAATTTAAGTTAATGACAAAGTCCGTGTGTTCGAGTGGTCTAAGAAGCACGCTTCAGGAAGCAAATAGAACTGAACATGCGTGTCTCAGAAATGAGGCGAGAGTTCGAATCTCTCCACGGACATGTTTTTGTTCTATTTTTTTCGTGAAATTTATTCCCAAAAATAAAACAAAACGATTCTATTCAGTATTCAAACTTACCTTTATCATCATTCATCATTATCATTCCAATAATATTATTAATAATTGATATAAATGATATATCATCATTAATACTTGTTGTAAACATAGCTATTATTAAGGAGTTAAAACATTTTTGTACACATGTTATAATTTTATCTTGTGAACTAGATACAGCTGATGAAAGTGTATTGAAAAGTACTTGTGTTAAACCAATATCAACAAGAAAATGTCGATTATCATCATTTGATCGTAATATAATTTGATCAAGTAATTTAAGAATTAATTCACATAAATGAGTATTTGTCATACTTAATTTTTCGATAAGTGACAGTACTAAAGCAAAACCAACTTGAGATCGTGGACATGGTGGTGAAGAAGAAACAATAGAAAAATATAGTTCAGTATCATGAATTTGTTCCGATAGACTATAAAAATAAATAATTTTTAGACAAATTATTTCAACTTATGTAAATAGTTGTTATTAAAGCAGATCATGTGATAAATCTTAAAGATAATCGCATTTGCTACATTATCTTTATATGAAACACCTAAACTGAATCAAATGTATTTTATTAAATTTGAATCTAAAAATTACAATAAAATGAACCCTAGCTTTAATAAATAATACGTCAAACTCTAAAACAAAATATTGAAACTACTATTCAATTGAATGCATTCGTTTTTGAACTAATATGAACTTTAATTATTATCTTATTTCTATTTTCTAATACGTTTGTTTTTCTATCGATGTATTGCTAACATATTGAATTTTAATTTTCATACCTTAACTTAGTATCAAATTGAATAGGACGTTGTAATGCAATAGAAACACAAATTTCAACAAGTTCTTTTTCATCATTACGTCCATCTAATTGATGATATATTTGATTAGCTAACATTGTATGTAAATCAGCTCTTAAAACATCGTTTTGGACTTTATCTTTATCCATTCGTTTTAAAATAACATCAAGTAATTTTATACATTGAACACGTTTAGCCATAGATGCATCAAGTAAAAGAACAATTATAATATTTAAACGAAATACATGATCAATTAGTTTCATCATTAAACGATCAGATGTTGTTATGGCTATACTTGTTAATAATCGTAAAATACCAGTCGAAAGATAATCAATATTATGTAAACAACTTTTATTTCCTAATATATTTGATTCCATATTAAAAGTCGTTGATGTAGATTGCGATGTTATCGGTACGCCTGAAACAGTTGTACGATGGGAACGACGATTATTATATGGGTCACTATCATTTCCATGAGGCATTGTTGGAGATAATAAATCAGAAGACGAATATGATTTTCGAACATTGGAATTATCTTTATTATACATAAGATTTATTCCCGATTGTTCTTCATTATGAATAGTTGTTGAACGTTGTCGATTGAAAATTTTTGAAGTATTTTTTTTATAAATATGTTTAATTAAATTTTCATTTTGATATTTTTTTCTTGTTTGATAATAATGAAATGATTTTGTAATAAAATAAAAATGTTCTTTATTATATGTAACATAAGTTTTAATTAATGGATGTATAAGTAAAACAAAATTCATTAATAATGCAATAATATTAATATCATTTTCAACTAAAGCTTCAATAATATCTACTAATAGTTTGGTTAATTTTTTATCAATAATTATTTGTTGTTGTTCTTCAATTATTTCTTGACATAATATTAATAAATGTTCAAGTGTAAAATATGTTTTAAATAATTGTCTATTAACATAAAAATATTTTGAATTAATTTGATCAGATAATAAATCATGAAAAGATTTCAATATAAGAGAAAATATTTTTGGATGATTATACCAAATTTTCCAATCAAGTAAAATAAAACAAAATAAATTTATTTCATATAGACGTTGTTGATTCAATACAATACATTTATCAATTAATACTTCATAAAATTTAGTTGATATATGATGTGTACATTCATTTGTTGTTAATATTTTAACAATTAAACGATAACCATCAAGAGAATTAAATAAATCATAATAAGATTTTATTTTCCATATTGATGTAAATATAATATCAGTTATATGGCAAATACCTGATGGTGATGAATATGTATTTATTTCAACAATTTTTCCAAATAAATAAATAAAATTTAATATTCCACCTAACTGTTCACATACATTAAGAATATTACTCGATTGTTCAAGAGAAATTTTTGATGGTAAAGAAATTGTTGTTGTTGTTGTTGTTAATAAATTATCATCATTTGTTGTTATTGATGATATTGCCGATGAAGATGATGATGATGATGATAATGATGCTGATGATCGAAAGGGTAAAATTTTATTAAAACGACTTGGTACGATATCTTCATTTGTATCACTATTTGTATTAAATACAAATAATGTCCAAGGATTATTTGATGAATATGAAGCTAAAAGTGAACGTTTCAATGTTGTATGCCATGAATTTTGTTCAATTTCAAATTGATCAATTGGCATTGATGGATGAACACGAGAAAATCTTTGATATATCCAATAATTAACAAGTGATTGTTGTTGTTGACTACCTGTTAAAAAATGCCAATGATCTGAACCCAAACTAAATAAATATGTTGGAATACAATCATTAGTTACTGTATGAGGTAAATCAATTTTATCAAATAGTAGAATACTTCCAAGATCATAATAAAATGTTGTACATGTATCTAAAGATTGTTGTCCAAGAGAGATAGACCATGGTTTTAATGACTTCACAGAATATAATTGATGTATTGAATAATTTTTAGCTAGTGATGTTTGACCATTAAGACAAACGCGAACTGTATTTGTTGTTTTTGATATTGTGAGAAATACATGAGACCAAGATTCACGTGGAAGATTACATAGACGAAGATTAAAATCGATGAATTCTAAATTAATTAATGAAATTAAATGATGAAACATAATAAAACAGATTTTATTATGAATAACTAAGTTTTAAATATCAAATTTTCTAATTAATCAGTATTCTATTTAATTAAGACATTATTATTCTTAATCTATAAATTAATATCGTATATACGAACAAAATTTTAAAATCTACACTTCGAATAACACTATTAATTAGAAAGTATAAATATCAAGTTTAAAAACAAATGTCTTAGTATTGTCGTACGAAGCCTTTGTATCATGAACGAGTTTTAAGAAAGTATAATTTAAAAAAAATGAATGTAATGTATAATAGTATCTTACAATGAATTGAATGATAGAAATTATCAATCCGCATATATCATATGAGATATTTCTGTTTCTCATAGTTCATGAAATCAAGGAGCTCAACATTGATGAACAAATAAATGTGTTACGTATTATTAGTTTTAGACTATACTAGCGGAGATACCCGATGGTAGTCATGATAATTTTATAATATATACTTGACATATTAGAAAAAGACGTCACTATGATGTCCTATCAATTATTGGAATTCGATATCGCAAAATATGTTCAGATCACTTTCCCTTTTCAACTGATGTTTTCCCCATTTTTAATTAAAAAAAAAATTCTATCCTTTTCAGTGTTCTTTTTGTTTGATCGACTTCTTTTATTACAAAAGACCGTTTACAGAAATACAACTTCGATTGCAACGCTTTTTGATACAGAACCTTCTCGATTTTCGCAACAGGGGCCAAAATAAACAAACTCTTCCCAGTTCCAACTCCTCAGCATGCTACGTTAAGTTGGCCATGAAAAAGGCAAGGGCTCTCTAGATTAATGCCAACCACCTTAAGTAATTACTCTTGAGCCTTGTCGATAGACATCTCGAAGGAAAGACATGCAGCAAATTGAAGACGCTTGAATTCAAACGGTATATCTGTAAGAACCATGAATATTCATGGTACGAATACATGCTCACTCTCTGGGCAGCCTGTCAACATTATTTTTCTTATCGTACATTAGAGATAGAGATTAGAGAATTTCCAATTTTCACAACCTGGGTGACATTACATTCGATTACCTTCCTTTCCTTGCCTGTCGCGCCAATCTACTCTCAATTTTTCTCTCCACTAAAGAGTATATCATGGAAATTTTGATGACGCTAGTTATTACGGAAATCAAATGTACAAACAGCAGACAGACAAACATTGTTATTTATAAAAACAGAAGAAGACACTCGCTTCCATACCCTATACCCACATTCAGTGCTTAGATCCTTGAATCGAACTCATTGCCTCTAAAGTCCCTACCTGACTTTTCTCCTAACGACCAAAGATTGATTAGCTAGGTTTCTTAGTAGCCCAATTCCTATTGGTTTCCAAACAACTCATTAGATTTCAAGACAAATAGACCTCACATTCGAACTCACCATTTCGAAAAACCCCCTGATCCATCAATTCCTTCAAAGTATAAGTGTTCTGGTCTATTTTCTTAAGTACTGAAGTCCTATTAGTTTCCAAACAACCACTCAGGTTTCGAGGCAAATGGACCTCAGAGTTGAGCTCACAATCTCTACATCCCCGTGCCCCATCATTTTCTTGGAGGTATAAGAGTTTTGGCCCGTTTTCTCAAGAGCTAAATTCCTATTGGTTTTCGGCCAACCAATCATATTTAGAGCCAAATGGACCCCAGATTCGAACTCACCGTCCTCAAAAACCCTGCGCCTCATGATTTCCTTCCAAGTATGAAAATTTGGGTCTGTTTTCCTAAGAGCTGAATTCCTATTGGTTTCCAAACAACCAATCAGATTTCGAGGCGAATGGGCTTCAGATTCGAACTCATCGCCTCAAAAAACCCTGTGCCCCATCATTTCTTTCAAAGTATATGTGTTTGGCTCTATTTTCCTAAGAGCTGAATTCCTATTGGTTTCCAAACAACCAATCAGATTTTAAGGCGAATGGGCCTCAGATTCGAACTCATCGCCTCAAAAAACCCTGTGTCCCATCATTTCCTTCAAAGTATATGTGTTTGGCTCTATTTTTTTAAGAGCTGAATTCCTATTGGTTTCCAAACAACCAATTAGATTTGGAGGGAAATCTATCCCAGATTCGAACTCAGCGCCCTCGAAAACCTCTAGTTCCATGTTTCCTGTGTGTTCATGAAGTGGAACTCAGTTATAGTTCTATAGTACCGAATGTTGCAACCCTATTGGTCGGTTTCATAGATCGCCTGTAGCATGTGTAGGATTCGTTTTTTTTCGGAAAAAAATACATGTCGACCTTCTCCTAGGTGTAAAGACCATTTCTGGAAAGTTTCATAGCATTTGCTCGTACCGTGTCCAAATGCATGAAGAACAAACAAACACACAAACACACAAACAGACATTCTTCTTTATATATATAGATAATGATGTCTATCTTTTTGATGCGTATCTCTAAAACCTAGGGACACCTACGAATATGCACAGGCTCTCGTATCCATGTCGACGAAAAGGCTATATTCTAGTTGAAAACAAAATACACAGAGCAGACGGATGTCCGTATGATATTAGTTTTGAACTTCTATCTCTGTTTCACAGCTTTGGTGACATTCGTAGTTTTACAATTATCTGTTATTGATCGATTGGAGTTCGAGAAAGACTGTTATTTTAAAATGACTCACGTTGATGATCTGATGTTGATGATACTTGTACAATTTTTAAATAAATATTAGATTTTGAATCTAACCAAAATTGTAATTGAATACCCTCATGATGTAATGTAAGAATATGTAACATAGGTCGATAATCTTTTCTAGTTGATTCTTCATTCTCATCTTGATTTTCATCATTTGTTTCATGTTTATCAAATGGATAATTTACTCTTAACCATATAGCTATTGTTAATGGAAAATGAAATTGAACTGTTTTTACTGTTTCAGTAACAAAAGCTGATTGACGAACATTATTATTGTTAACAGATGAATTTATTGAATTATTTTCTATTTGAGGATATTTTAATGAAAATAATTGATCAAGTGTTAAACGTAAATTATTTCCACCTTTTGATGTCACTATTGATGATAATGGCATTGAACAAAATGAACGTGGTTGATTTGAATCTATTTGATTTACAAGATGTTTAAATAAACGAAGTAATGGTCCAACTAATGATCGATGAATTAATATTAATTTAAAACATTCATCAAGTTGATGAACTGTTATTGATTGTGACCATAAAAATTGTAGAAGTGTTATTATTAATGAAATTAAAGCATCTTTTTGTGGAAATAATGAACGAGGAACAATTTGTGTTAGACAAGTAAAAAGATAATCATCGATATTTAATTTTTTTAATACAATACAATTATAACTATTTGCACGAATTAATGATGATAATAGTTCTAAGTAGGTGACAAGATTTGTTACCTTAAAATACGAAAAAAATCAATGTTATTTATTTTCATTCACTATTGTACATTGAATCTATTAAAGTCGACGAAACTATCGGAATACATTCTAACCTATGGCACAAACTGTTCACTTATTTATTTTTCAGCTAGTTCAAGACAATTGTTTACAGACAAAATCAGTAGTTGTCGCTAATTCCGAATATACGCTCAGAAAAGGTGTAACTTTTCTAGTATCTCTTATTCTAAAATATTCGAACTTCTCTCATGTATGAAAGTGAATTCTGCTCATATATTTACACGTCCAGAAAAGAAATATTAGAAAAGCTAAAACTTGCACAATCAATTAATCTAATTAGAAACATGCAATCTGAGAGAGCCAGAACTTTATGTTGAAATACCTAATAAAACGTTGATCTTTCAAAAAGAAAGGTCTGGAAAACCAAACCATTGCAGATTATTTTCTTAGTCTCTAGCACTCATCCCATTAATATCGTCCAAGTTAAAAAGCGATTTGACACATAGAGAGATTCTACCGTCAATTATCTAGAGCACACATTGTTCTACAAGACATGCTATTTACTTTTGCATGACACATTTTAAAAGTTTTGTATTTTCAAAAACAACGATTTTGTTTTACTGCTGCTGATTTCCATGGAAACTAGCTTTTTAGTGAAAACGCATAGATGAGATTTCACTTATTGTAATATCTCATTTTGCATAGAATTCAATAACATTGAGTGAAACTATTTCAATTCACAAACTATAAACTGTGCCAAGACTGCTATTTGCTTTGTATAGGCACGATTTGGAATTCTTTCATAAAATTTACTAATATTAATTCAATCTGATTTTAGAAACAAAATCTGAACATGTATATTCAGTGATGAAGAAAAATTCTGATGCCAGCTGTAATCAGTTCTTGTTAGTAGTCGAAGAAAAATGAACGAATATTTTGTGACAATGTTTTCGTTCTATAGGTTATATAGAATGAGTTAAAGTCTCGCAATCAGAGTCCATTATCGGGTTCAAAATTTTTGAAGAAGAATCAGGTTGATTAAATTTTTCTGAAATTGGATCTGAACTGTACTACTCTCATTTGAATGATGGTTTTTACTCTAAATTTTCAAGTTACTCGAAAGATGTGAAATATTTGTTATCGATTATTTATTTTCTGTTCATGACACACCCTATACAATTCTTAGACAATCTTGTGGATGAAATCAAAATTGATTTTAGTTCAAAAATTTAACTTACATAAAGAGGTGTTTTATTTGTAGTTTGTTGATCATTCCACTCATTATCAACATTTTGCCAAGCTATTTTTAATCCAAGAATAACTAGTTCTGGAAAAAGAATTAAATTTGAATAAATTGTTTGATGATGTTTTGCAATTTTTTCTATTGGTATATCATCAGTAAGTGATTCTATATCACCTTGATAAACTTCATCTTGATCAATATTTTCAATATTTTCTATATCAACATTTGTTGTACATAATAGTGATTTTGTTAAATTTTCATCATCAGTTTCATTTAATGATTGATTTTTATAATTAATTGAACTTTTCCATCTTGTTCTTTTATCTTGATACTGTTGAGATAATGATAAACGTACAAGCAATTCAAACCATGATCGATTATAACGATTTTTTTCACTAAATAATGTTATTTGTTCAAGTACTAATTTATAATTAAAATTCTCGTTTGATTTTGTATAATATGATATTGATACAAGTATACTTGCAATTATGGATGATTGAATTGGTAATTTATTATTTAACATTAATTGAAAACGTTCATATAGACTTAAATGACATAAATTAGCATAATATATTTGTCGAAATATTGAACATTTTTGTAAAAGTATAATAAGTATATGTAATAAATTATCAATACTATCATTGGGTAATGACCATGAATTTAATAATTTAATTATTAAATGAAGAAATGATTCAGATAAATTTAGATTTAAATTTAAACAATTTGATGTTGATGTTAGTAAACAACCTAATGCAGGTAATGTATGAATAAGAAGTGATGGTAATAATGATGATAAAGATATTAATGTATCTGATAATGATAATAATTGTATATCAATACAACTGTCAAATAAAAGATTTGGAAGTGTTTGAATAAGATATTCAACTATTTCAATATTTGTTGAATTTTGTATTGATATATTTGTACGATAAAATTCTAATGATGGAATTATACAACATTTTAAAGCTAATTGTTTATCGTTTATTGAACAACATTGTATAAGATCTGGAAATGATCGAATTAATTTAAGTGAATAATGAGATGAACGTTGAAATAAATGATTTGATAAATATGACCAAAATAATGTATTATCTGGTATTTGTGTATCATGATGATGATGATAATGATTACGTTGAAAACAATTTGAAATCAGAAGACATGCTTGACGAAATAATTTAATAGATTGTTGTTCAAGAGATGTAATGATTTCTTCATTAGCTTTAAGATGATTTAGTTTAGATAAAAGTGTACGATAATGAGAAAGTGAATAACATGAACATGAACCAATAGATGTTAAATAGAATAGACAATCCTAAATTGAAAATAATAATAACAAGATATTAATGATCATTTTTAAGTAATTTTGATTGACCATTAAAATTGCCTTTATTTTCTAAATATCGTTTGATAAATATGTGTTTTGGTGTACTACTCAAATAAAGATGTTTTAGTACAACAAATCTAGCATAAGTTGAAAGACATGAACTTTTGTGATCGAACTTAAATCATTTTAGTCACAAGGACACTTTAGACTAATATCATAGGAATGGGAAAAAAAGAACATTAAAATCTTCATAGATAATAATAAAATTTGTTTTTATCTCATAGCAATAGACTCAAACTTACTTGAATAACAGAAAATAATGGTTGACTAGATTCTAATTGTTTAATAGCTAATCTTAATAATTTATCATAAATAGCACTAATAACACAAACACGTTTCATTTGATTATTATCATCATTATCATTTCTTATTTCAATATTACCATCAAAATTATTTCTATTATTAATTATTATTTCAAATGAATTTTGATGATGATGTAATATATATGCTTGTTCATAACTATTTTCCCAATATGTTTGTATAATACGAGGATTTTGTTTACGTTGTAATTTTTCTGAACGATAAATTTTTAAACGTTTTAATATAATTGAACAATGTTCAAGTAATTCTTTTGCATTAGATTCATATTGTTTATCAGTACTTAACAAATTAAATAATAGAAAATAATCACTTATTAATAATTGATTGATTAAATTTAATAAATCATGTATTGTTCGTCGTTGAACTAAATTTGTTTGTGTTATATTACAAAGTGTACTTTCAATTAATAAAGCAAAACCTTGTAAAGTATCAAATCCTAATTGAATAAGAAATTGTGATGATATTGCTGATGATAATAGATAATTATAAATAACTGTTATTATTGAACCAATAGGATTCGATGTAAAACTAGTTGTAAATGTTGATGGTTGATATGAAATAATTTGTCGAAATATAAGAAAAAGTGAACGAATTTTTTTCTGATAAAACCAAAGAATTTTATATTCAGTTGTTAATTGTGGTAGTGAAAGATCAATAAATTTTTGAGCAATTTCAATATGAATATTATTTATTTCTGATATAGATACATTTAATGTATGATTATCATGATTAAAAGGGAAATAAAAAAGACGAACGATTGTGTCAAATATACAATCTAATGTTTCAAATATATTTGATGTGCTTGCATTAGAATGATCAATTTGTTCTTGATTAAAATATGCATTTATCGATGGGATATTACATAAAGCTGAAAAAGCAGTACAATATATATATATATATTTTGAAACCGAGAAGAACATTGATTATACCTTGTTCAGCATCATTATCAGATATATGTGAATAACAAATTGGAATTAATGTAATAAGAAAAAGACCAAAATCACGACATTGTATTGGATTAGATGTACTCTATCAAAAATAAAACATGAATAGATAATTATTTGAAAAATAATCATTATATAGATATATATATATATATATATTTACATGAATGTCAGTATTTAGTAATTGTTTAAGTGAAATAAGTCCATTATTACTTAAGTAGTCTATTAATTCGGATTCGTTGTCTTTCATACATATTCTCTCAACATTTTTGTAAAACGATTCAATCAATTGTGACATTATTAATCAAGATAAATAACAGCAATTGATATGCAAAAGAAATCGGCATATCTAAAAACAAAACGAAAAGAATGAATATTTCTACGCTTTATAGTCATAATTATCAGATTTTAATAACGAAGAAACACTCTTTTCTTTAAAACGAGAAGCTTTTCATACCCTTTCGGTTGGGTAAGTGGCGTACGATACCCTTAAACTAAATAAAGAAAGTGAAAAATATCGTCACAATAGTCAAGTAAAATTGTATTGGTTGATTAACACCGTTTGGTTTTTTTTCGAAACAGATCTCTTTTAAAAACCTTAGAATACTAATAAAATAGATTCCACTGTGATGCATTGTCTTAAAGAGTTAGAAATTTTTATCCAGAAATTAAATAAACAAAGTTCGTTTACATTGACACTAGCGACAAATGTATGTTGAGAAGTTATTTTAAGCGAACTCTTACGAAGATTTAATTGTTTTAAATGAAAATACATTTATATTACAATGATAATTATTTAATTCTTCAAAGATTAATAAACTAGAGTAAATACCATTACTTTATGTTGGAAAAATTACATTTTTTTTCTAGTGTAATAGATAAAATTGTTCTTGCATTCTACGCTGTTTATTAAAAAAAACTTACAAAGGTAGCCCTCTTGTCATCAATTTATCTTGTCTTGACACACTTCGAAGAAATAGAATATGAATAACCTAAAAAAAAATCTCGAATAATTGTTGCTGTTTTTGACGCATTAGATAACATCCCAAATATAAAGACTATAGTGAATATATGTCACCATTGCTAAAAACAAAGAACTCATACTCAATTTCTATTCAAAAATTAGTAGACTTGGTTTAAATTACTAATCTAAAAAAAAATTTCAAAATAACTCAACGAGATAAAATATTCATTTGAAATAATTGTTTATTTTTGGTTGTGAAACATTTTATTCTTTTATTTTAAAAACTCACTTCCTCGTTTTGCTGTTGAAATAATATATAGATTGTAAATGCATTCACCACTTCCCGAGTATATAGCAGATCTCTCTATAAGGATTCTAGAGCTTCTATTATAGTCAGATAATTTCAGTTTTTCGAGCAAAGCTACACAGTTGCTCTTAAATTAGTCTTGATCAGATGTGCTGTTGGCATATAAAAAATGTTTTTATTGACATCAAATATTCATGATTAAGAATAATTTCTAGAAACTATGTTCATTTTTCATTGACGTCTGAAATCTTGACCACTATGGACTTTGTAATCGTCAATTTGTTTGGGAATAAGTATTTGAGCAACATCATGCATTAATTATTGATTGCTTGAAGAGTTATCATACAAATATGATTTACTGATGTTTTTCGATGCAGAATTGTAAAGTAAAAACTATGTTTAAACATTTCGTATAAAAATTTCGATTTTCGCAGAAAAGAAAGTCAGAAGTTCAAGATATAATGTTTAATTGATTAAAAACAAGGATGAATTATCTATCATATTCACAGATAGACACTGTTGAGTTATAGATATAGATTGGATCAAGACCAGTTGTTTTTTTTTGTTTCAAATTCTGGCGGAACCGGAACTGGAACCATCTTGGCCATATCTAGTTATAGATTGAAAAATTTTATTATTGTGTAAACATCATGCAAACTAAAAAGCTCTGTTTTCTAGCGAATATATAAAACAGTAATGTACCATGTAATATATTTTTATCACGGTTTTTTTTTGATATTATTGTGAATTATTCTATTGAAAGAAAAAAAAGGAATCATTTCTTTATTCTATGATTAATTCAATAGATGGTATTTACCAAAACTATCTAGCGAGGTTCATTTTTAATTTATTTTATTGCTATCAGAATCATTAGAAAGAATTCAACTAGTGGTTCAAATAGAAAAAATTGTTGTCAATAGGAATAGAAGGAAATAAAAATTAATATCAAATTTGCAAAGACAAAATCTCCGGAAAACCAAAAGTCTAAGTTTTTAGCATGTAGAGCGGTTAAATATAGTTTAGTTTAGACTATACAAAACAATAGTAAAAACTATTCTCTATATGATGGAAGGTCTGTGAGTTCACTACGATATTCTTTAACTGTAAGATACAGCAAACTTACGGAAGTCCCTCAGGTCGTTTTCTTTCAATTTCCTATAGAAAAATCACTTTTTTTTGTTTTTTACCCATAATCAAATTATTGTATCGCAACCAAAGAAAAAGGTCGCAAAACACTCGAAGACCTCTGATGTTATAGAGAGCTGGTTGCTCTATATTTTTATATCGTCAAATAGAATTATATTTACGCACTTTAGATATTGAAAAACTAGAGTTTGGGTGTTTTTCGAGTTCTCATCTTTGTCAGTCTAATGAAAGTCATCTATTCCATATATTTTATTTGGAAATCATTTTCTCCATTCGAATCACTATTTGGACTCTTTCTAATGATTGCGGCACCAGAAAAACATTGAAAATAAACTTTGTTGAATAATTTTTGTTCTTATTATATATAATAGTTCTATCGGTTCCTAACAATCAAATGTCGGATGTATGGGTCATTGTTAATTTAGAATAAGCACTCTTTTTTTATTATATCTTCATTCTTTGTTATTGACTAGACAAAACAAAAACAAAAACTGAACCAAAAAATAACAAATACAAAAAAAAATAGTGTATTTTATTTACACCATGATTTGTTCATTTTGTAATGAGTCGGAATCGAGACTATCATCATCACGATAAGTGTTTTGTTTTATTGATGATTTTGGTTGTTCACCAATGAGATAACCATCTGAATGACTTGTTATTATTGTTGCCGACATTTTTCGTTTTTCATTATTTTTTAATCTTTTATTTCGATTTTTTGTATTATTTAGAAGTGTTCTCAATATTACTTGTTGATTAGATATTAATGATTGACTTTTTTCTTCAGTAGTAGGAGAAGTTGTTACTGATTGACTGTCATTATTTATAATTTCTTTATTATTCTTATCATGATTTAACATAAAAGCTGAATTTGCTGGTATTTGTGCAGCAAATTTCAAACTATGAACTTGTGCTCTTAATTGTTTTGTTAAACGCATATTTTTTTCAGGATGTAATAATATAATATAGACTTTCGGTGAAAAAAGGCATGCTAATGCTACTGTTGCACATAATGATATAGTAACACATAATGTTGCAATATTTACCTTAATAAAATAAATGAAAAACAAAAATTAAATTAAATCTTCACTTTTTTTTGCTACAGAAATCTATTACTTGATGACGACCTGTCTCGTGTGCTGTAAAATAAATTGGTAGAAATGCTAACCTATAATAAACAAAAAGAAGTCAAAACTTATATTATAGTATTTGTTTTTTGTTCTTCTTTACCAAAGTATACATGTTGTATAACAAGTAAAACCAATAAATTTTGTTTCATTAAAATTTTCTGGTACTTTTCGTGTTCGTACAGCATACATTGTACATATAAGTATAAGTAATGCATTATAAGTTAATGAAAAAAGAAATGAATATTTATTCATATGACATTTAAGTATAACTAAACGTTCATGTGCTATCATATCAACATATGGACGTTCGTAAGCAAGCCACAACAATGAAAGTAGTAATTGTACCATAATTAAACATGAACAAATAGCTACTTGAGAACGTGGTGATATATGTTCTGGACGTAATTTACCTTGTTTTTTTGTACTTTCAAATATTCTTGCAATACGATTTGTTTTTGTTAATAGAGCAGCATACATCATTGAAAAAGCTAAACCAATACCTAAACGTTGAATAATACATGTTATTATATGTGGTCTTATAATTATAGGAAATGTCATTAAATAACATAAGTGTATACCACCAAGCATAATAAAACAAAGTTCTTTTCCACTTGCTTTAACAATTGGTGTTTGTCGTTTTTGATAAAATAATATAACAACATATAATGTTAAAATATTACCAATTATGGATAAACTAATTGGTACAAGTGCTATGGCTGATAAAAATTCGATAGATGTTACTTTTAATTTATAACATGATGTACGATTTTGTGTTGGCCAGTAACCAATAGGACATGGGTCACAATGTTCTTGATCTGCATGACTACGGACAATCGATGTTTCATTACATGGTGTACATACCCAACAACAAGAATCACCTTGAAATTGACGAAATTCACCAACTCGACATGGTACAGAACAACGAGATATAGGTATTGTTTTTGATGATAATAATGATATATCATTTGTATTTGCACCTGGCCATACAATTGAATCAATAGCAAGATTTAGTTTACCATTTTGATTTCGATCTATTTTCCATTCACCAACAGAAACATATTCATATGGAAATGTAATTGTATCAGATAATGACGATATTTCATTTGATCGACGATAATTATATATACGATAATGACCGGGTACGAAACGTTCAGCATTAAATTGAATTTGTCTTGAATCAGGCACTAGAGTAAAAAACAAAATATATTTAAATTATTCTCTCGAGATTTGAATATCTATCATGAATTTTTCTTTTTTAAGACAAAAAAAAACAGAAAGAAAATCATAAATGCAAACTAGTTTTGTGATTTTCTTGCTTGACTATAGTTGATCAATGTATTTTTAATCGTAAATAATCCAATAATATCTTATAATTGCTTCATTATGAAAAAGCAAAAAAGAAAAAGAAACAATGAAATTGTTCTGCAAGAATGTAGTTATCAATGATTACATTGCAAAATCTGTTCGACATATGTATCTATAATAGAACTTACTAATAAATGTTGTTTCTAAGATTAATTGAAATAATTTTTTTCCATCTATATCTGTTAAAAATGTATTTGGACATGATGATGATGAACAATTTAAATATTCATGTAATGCATGAGCAAATACATATGTTGCATCAACAATAAATTGTAATTTACTATCCCAATTTGTTTCATTTAATTGATGATTTATACATGTTGATGATGTTGTTAAACTACAACCAAAACGATGTTCCCAAAATTCATTAAACCATGGATTTCTTGATGAAATTATTTTTGAATTTTTATTATTTGTATTCTTATGAATTATTTCATCGGGTAAATCAGGTTTTAATGAATTAAAATATCGATCAAAATTTTCTGGTTGTATTGAAACAAGTTCTAATGTTAAGGCACCAACAGCTATTTCATCAGTTTCACCATTTATAACAACTGATGATTCTTTGCCCTAAAAATAGATTTCAAAAGACAAAAAAACAAAAATGAAAAACAAATTGATTTATTTATCCTATTTACCCATGCATCACTTGCGATGAGTACAGGTCGATGTGTGCCATTAAATAATTTAATTGCTTGTAACAATTTTCTAGCATCTTCTTTTGTGACAAATAATACATAAACACGTACTTGTAAATCAGGTTTGCCACGATCGAACATTGTTTGTAAAATTGTTTTAATATCTTGTATTGATGCATCACGATATAAACGTTGTTCATCAGCAATACATATACGGTTTGTTTTTTTTTGCATTATATTTAAATTATCATCGGTTGTTGTAGATACTTTAAGTAAACGTCGAAATTCACGAAAGCCACCTTCACCATAATCACCATGAGAATAAATTGTATTAACATAGGTAAAATTTAAGCGTTGTAATATATCAACGATTGCACGTGCTTGATTTGAATCGGACGGAACAGTACGAGCAAAATATTCAAATGATGCTTCACTTAATTTTGGTGTTGTTGATGCATAGGATATTTGGGGTAATTGAAATAAACGTAATAAATTAGCAACATGTACACTAACTGAACTTAGTGTTGCACCAACAACACCAAATACATTATCATCATGTGGAGATTCAGATAACGATGTATTAACGCATTTACATGAACTTGATGTTAAACGACCAATTACAAATACAAGAGATTGTTCAACAGCATAATTATCATCGGAACAAGTATCCAATATAAGTGCACCTAATTCAATACCGGGTAATAAATTTGTATCATTATTAATTTGTTCAATAGCAAACAACATAGCTTCTAAACGTTGTATTCCACGAAATTCACTTATGGCTCCACAAGGTTCTCGTGGATTTCCATATTCATGTACAGGAAATAATCCACCTAATGTGACATTCCCTTTTCGATATGCTGAACGACTTATTGGTGATGAGTTACCAAATGTTAATGTTGTATAATAGAAAAAGAGAATTAAAATACCGATCAAATAATAAGAATAATAAAACATCGATTATTTCGGTCTAAAATATAAAAGTGATATAATCGTCATTAATCTAATATTGATGCATCGAATGTACATGTATACAAGTGTTTTTTTTCTTTATTTTTATGACTCTATTCTTGGCATCACTCATTCTCGCTATGTAAGTTAATCTATTTGACAAATACAATAACAACAAAAAGAAAAGGGAAATTCTCTTCGTTGCTGTTTCAACATTACTGACGCATCCTCCCTTTCTTCTCCTTGTTCCCCGTAATTACAGTCCTTCCTCTCTCTTTCCCTCACACTTTCTCTTGTCCTGTCAGTTTCCTTCTCCCTTCCTCTCTCTCCCTCTCTCTCTCTCTCTCTCTCACACAGTTTATCGCTTCTGACAAGAATAGTCGATTGTTTGGATTTTGATTTCCTTTATTAAAAAAAAATTGTTTTTGAAGGTAGCACATCAATTCATTTAACTATAGCGAAGTCAAAGGTCGATATTAATATAAATACCCAAATCGGTACATCATGTGTTAAATAAACTTATCGATTATATTAGTACAAAAGACAAACTAATTTGTTCTTTCTTTTCTTCATCGTGTTAAACTTATTTGTTCATTTATTTCAGTATTTTTTTCAATTATAAGAATGCTAGGTTTGTTCTATTATATATGACTAGTTGTAATAGCTATTTAGGTTTCTATTTCGACATAACTTTTCAAGTATTAGCTTTAAATTGTCATCTTACTTATAAAAAGAAAACAATTCTCTATCATCTAGAAAAAAATCCTCAAGAAGAATACATTAGACAAAAATGGGATAGTGAAGAAAAGCCATAGGGAATGAATATGTACACAGCAGATGATTACAAACAAGTGAAAAGAAATCAAAGAAATCTTGATACTTAAAATAGAAGTGTCTATCAATATATATTCATTACGAACCCTATTGTACAGATGACTTTAGATTCTTTTCATTTTTAATATCATATTTACGTATAGTTGCATGAATCTATGTAGAGATATTTCTTTTGCTTCGTGTACCATTTGACATTGAATGATTATGTTTGGTAGGGTGCATATTATTGCATTCTAGTGATAGAACAAAAATTTATGGAAATTTATTTTCTGTGGCATATTTTACCGTGTCTTCTTGATTGCGGATGAAAATCAAAGCAAATAGCATGCTGACAGTGTGGATGAGGGCTGAAATTTTGTCCATAGTTAAGAAGTAGCCTATTTTACTTATTTTCTCAGTGTTACTCGTGTTTTTTTCTTTTAAAATGATATTGATAAGAACAATAATCTGTGACATAAGGCAAAGTTCAAAAAACGTTAAGGAAAATGCTTTCATTTATATTCGACATCTATAACTAACCTTAATCTGGTGCAATTTTTTTATCATCGTTACCATGCATCTTTGTCTGTTGCTATTGCCTTGCAATATCTTTTGCCTTCAAAAGAAAAAAAAAAGATGATTGCATCAATAAAATATTAACGAGTGCGATGTAGTTAGTAATACTGATAGCAAATGCAAACATTAACAGAGAATACACTAAATCAAGTCATTTTGTATCTTGTGTCATTTATCAATTTATATAAGCATATAAGATTCGATGAAAAACAAATCATGTTATAGATCAATGTTCTATATATCTTATAAAGTTCTTTCTACCCTTAATGTTCTATATGAATGAAGTCAAACGATAAATCGCCCGAAATGAGTTTATTGCATGTCGAATAGATCCCAAACAATAATAATGTCTTTCAAAGTATATACAAAGAGACACAAACAAGTAGGTGGTGAAGCTGAATGCCGTTGTAAGTTTTTTTTTTTTTATATAATAGTCACATCACGCATCAGAACAACAACACAGTTACACACACACATACGATGAATATTATCATTTTTTTTTTCAAAGCATATCCTTTTGTCGACATCTTCATCGTATATGTAATGATTATGATGCATCATTCGTGCGAATAGGACTAATATATATCTTCGACGATTATTTGCTTTATTAAAAATTGGCTCGTTTAATAATCGAGTTCTCTCATATTCGTGTTGCTTCGTTTCTTATTCCGCATAATTTACATTCATGTAAGTTTTTAATTTCAAATATGCGCATTCATGCAATATTGAATATAGATAGATGACAAAAACAACTTATAAAAAATTGAACAAAGTATTAACTAACTCGTGCGTCAAAGGTGCAGATTTTGTTTTTATTATGCTTGGCTAGAATCATTGCTGATCGATTATTCGAATAAACATATATTCATTAAACCGGAAGATTTACTCAGTTTGTTAAAGATATAAAAATAACTTAATAAAATTTCTTCTTTTTCTATCTTGTTGTACCTAACAACATAAAGAATGTTCTCAGATGTTTTGTTTACACAGAACAAAAAAAAGAAAATATAGAAAAAAATGAAATGAATTTTATTTTAGTTTGGTATATTTACTTCGAAAAATTCATTTAAATAAATTATAAATATAAAATTGTTGAGAAGCTTATTAATATAAATCAAAAGGTTTTATTATTTAACTTTTAGTTTTTTCTTTTTTTTCTTTTTAGTTTTACTATTATTATTATCTAAACCACAAAGCTTATTAATAAATTGATGATAATTAAATGTATTTGATGATTTTTTTGAATCATTAATCATTGAAAACATAATTTTAATATCTTTCATTGTCAATGGCATTTCACCTAAGGTTGTTAAATTTTGAATTAAATATTGTTTATCAATGAAACCTTGTTGTTCAATATCAAATGTTTCAAATGATTTAATTAATAAAAGAGCTATATCATCATCTGTTAATTCTTCCCAATAAGGTGCAAGGATATATTCGATTTCGTCAAGAAAATATTCATCTGTATGATATGTATCTTCTAAAGTTTTTTTAATTTTGTCAATTGTATTTTTTGTCATATTTTGTCCGGCTAAATGAAGTGTTTGTTCCAAATTCGATAATTCTTAAGAAGGAAAATGCAAATAAAAAAAAAATATTTCGTTGTCTTTTTTTTTTAAATAAATATTATATAGACTGTAACTGTTTTTCTTTTAAATAGTCTAATCTAACAACAACAAAAAAAAAGAAGTTCATCCTCATGAAATATTTTTTTTCAAATAGCTAACTTTTTAGGTCATGTGTAGTTCTTATAAAATGTGTGTACCATAGATATCTGATACGAAACATTTATCATACAGTGATAGTTAATGTATTTCTTTTCATTGCATGTCAATAACATATAAACATTACTTAATAAAAGTCATCATCATGAATGTTAATCTTTTGTTTTATTCAAGACGGATGTTTCGTGATATTATTTGGAAACGTTAATTACTACATATGATATATGGAAATTTTGTTGTCAAATATAGTCAACGTCAAATCGAAAATAAACTAAATGGTTATCGTTTAGTTTGAGAGATATATGGTTAAAACAATAGCTTATAGAAGAATAATTTGACAAGAAGTTCATTGATTTTTTAGCCTCTTGTTAAAAAAACCTGCAGAAATTAAAAAAACATAGGGTGAGAATCAGAATTTTGTCTTTTTGACTACAAAGGTTGTTGTAGAACTTCTGGCTTGAGAGTTATGAAGCGACTGTCTCAAGGCTCGTGAATGGAATTTGGACAAGCTAAAATTACCCATAGTAGAAACAAAAACTTTATTGGTGAAGTGCATCATGTCCATTTGTCGATTTCTATTGAAAACTGATTTGCAAAGTGAGTACAGTCGTTCGTGAATGATGGTTCTGAAACTCTGGATTACTATATCACGTTATGTAAAATACCCTTCGCTTTAATTCTAAAAAAGAAATCGATAGTATAATGTATGCAGTAAAAGAAACTATTGCTGCAAAATAAATGTCAATTTTTTTTGTCGAAGTGTAATTTTCACGTCTCTAAAAGGTAAACTTACAATTAGAGAAAGGAAGAATACTCCCACTTAGCAGTACGATATGTTGCCCAGTGACAGATTCAGTAACCGGATTTCTTTTCTATCACTAATGATAGCTGTAGCGCTGGAAAGAAAATCAACCTGTCGCAGAGTTTTTGCGCTCAATATTTTTAAGTTTCCCATGCATTCTAATTAATCATATATGCTACATTGTAAAAAAAATGTATCTTAAGATAAATTTTATTTTAGATTGAAGTCATAGATACATATGTTTGTCACATCATAGTCAGTGTACTATTTGACGAGTGAACCGAGGCAAACAGTTGTTAGCGATTTGTTCAGAATAATTAAATAGCTGGTGCTACTGAAGTTTCAATACAGTACCTTATGGTTCCATTTTGAACAACACAACTACTGCTCAATCATCGTGATCTCATAACTGGAGATGCGCGGAACCAATTTTTTCCATAGTCTCTGGTCATCGTTCCGGTATAGAGAAAAGTATTGCAGAATTTATTCCTATCACGTCTAGAACAATTCGTCAATATTTGTTTATTGATTGATGAAGTTGACGATTGACATATTTTTGACTTATCTCTCTTGATTTATGCTCTGATTGATAATATATAAGATAACTCATTTAAAACTATAGAATATTTAACCAACAATCTTTAGTTTCGGTTGAGACAATATATTTATTATAGTTCTGATCGTGATCTGAGCAACTTTTTCTTTTTCATAGTCTCGGTTGCACACATCTATACTGGTAACTTCTAAACTATAAGTCCTAGATAAATGTTAAAGTTTTTTTTTGAAAAAAATACTAAATTTTGATCCAAACTCTATGTTTTACAAATTCTTGCCGGTTCTTCTGAAAACGCTGAAAAATAAATGTACATTTTGTCGAATAAATTTTTGATAGCTCGTCATTACTAGCTTCGAAATATTGTTAGATATTAAATAATATATGTTTATGCATATACCCCAATTAATTCAATATATTTACAATTGAAGTTATAGACTTAGAACTAGACATAGTACATATGCAAAACTTTATTAGAAAATAAATATTAAACATAATTGAAACTAATATTTCTCACTGATCATTAATTCTCCGGCGACTTTTGTCTTAACAACATTTCGTAATTTTTCCATTTCGACATCTGATAAATGTTGTTTATCAAATAAATCTTCTTTATTATCGAAATCGTTTTCTATAATATCATCATTTCGAAGCGAGAAATATCTTTCATTATTGTACATTAGTTTAGAATACAAAAAAAAAAAAAGAAGAACTGAAGAATACAATTCTATAAAAAGAAAAGAGCGCACTGTGTCTTTGTCTTTATTTTGTACTTAACATTTGTTCAATAGACAGTTTATTTTATATGACTTTCATTTGGACATATAACTATTGCATCATAAAAAAAACCATAAGAATGTATTAATTTCACTTTAAATGACAGCCATAATATATTGTATTTAAAAAGAAAATGGAATGTTTTCATAAAATATCAAATAAAATGAAATGTTTAATTAAAGAATGAATGGAATCAAAGCATATCTATTTGATGGATATAATTCTTTATAATGTCTATAATACCATTGATGATTTAATAAAGCTGATAATGATTGATTAACAAATATCCAAATAAATAAAGATGCCATAGCTGATGTTCGATGACTTGCAATAAAAAATGCACTATAGATAAAAATTTCTGCTATATAATTTGGACAAGAAAAATAATTAAATATCCAATAACCATATGGTATGGGATATAATTCATTTTCTAAACGTTTCATTTTTATATATGTTAAATGTATATTATATTGTATATAACTTGCATATAAAAAAAGTATTAAAGCAAAAAAATATTTTTGAAAATTTATATTTGTATATGGATATTTATAATCAATAATTATTGTTAAACCAACACATGGATAATGTATTAATCCATAAAAATAATATAAAAAATTAATTTTGGAATTATATTTATGGATATAAATACATTCATATAAACGACGTATTATATGAAGAATAAATAAAATAAATAATAGAAAATATGATAAATGATATAAGAGTAATATGAAATTTATTATAAAACCAATTATATAAAAATGTATATAATATGATTTTGGTATATTACCTTGATTTATTAATTTATTATGAAGATATAAACGTCGAAGAATTATATTTATTATGGAAAAATTTATATGACAATCAATTAATAGCCATATACCTAATAAAAGTATTCCAGCTGATAGAGAAAGCCAAAAAAATGTTATGCATAAATTGAGATTCCATTCAAACATTTTGATTCTTTCTTCTTTTATCTAAAATATAATTTATTTTTGAGATTATAAAAATTAATTCATTTGTCATTCTATCTATATCATTAAAACAGAAACAAAAAAAAACACTCTTTTTTTTAAACAAATGTGTCCTCATCCTTAATCAGATCATCAATAAATGGTAAGCGTGAATATAATATTGAATGTTCATGAGAATTATTCTGTTCATTATTATTTATTTGTGTATTTTCATAAATTAATTGTGAACTTGAGAATACATCGGGAGTTGAACATGCTATCTCTTCAAATTCAGTACGATAACGACGATAACGTCGACGAGCTATTATTAAACGAATTATCATTGGTAAAAGACCACAAAGTATTATGGAAGAAAATATCATTATTAAAGCCAGAATAAGCCAATTGTCTATTGGCATTGTTACATGGATTATAATTTATTAAAACTATAAATAATTGATTTAGATCGAGCACCATCGAGATAGAACCTAAGAAAAAAAGGGATAATAGAGACATATATTAGTTTTAAACTCATATTATTTTCTCATAAAGAGAAATTACCATAAACAATAAAAATATTGTTTTCTAAAAAATCGGGTGAATGACATTGTTGTTCTCAGCTCTCGCCTTAAAGAACTATTTCATGTTCTTCAGTATGATTCTTTTATTTATTTAAGAATTTTCTATATGTAGATTTTTCTTCTCTCTGAAGAATTTTTCTTTTAGTTGTTTTAATCAATTCTTTTGTATAAGTACATATTTCGTTCACGAAAAAGACAAAGAACGAAGATAATATTCTTACTTATTTTCATCGACAAGTTAACATTAAAGTCGTGCCAATAACATAAATAGAATAGCTATTGACATATTCCAAAACAAAAAGGTTGCAACTAAAAACAAGATAATAATCATATTGAAAATGAGAAGATTTGTTTCTTTTTATTAAATAACACGAAATAGGACAGATTACAAAAAGAAAAAGAACAGTTTTCAAACACAGATCTTTATCAATTAATCTTCTGCTGTTTATAATAGGAAACAAACGCTTGAAAGAGTAAATCAAAAAACGAAAAAAAAAAACAAACGACATAATTATATTAATAAACTAATAGCACTGTTCATAAGAACACCAGGTTATCTTTTCTTTCTTTTGCTCGTAATAATTATATTTCTTATTTCTATAGCTTTATCTGACTAGCTACTGTGAAAAAAAAATAAGAATAATAAAAATGCGAGAAAATATTTATTTATTTATATTAGCTATTGTTTCATTAGGTGAATTATTGGCTGATATGGGTACTGGTAAATCACCATTACTTGCTGTAACTAATGTATTTGTTTTTCGTTGTTTTGAATCTGATGTTAAAAATCCATAAAATGTTTGTACCAATGGCATTGTAAATAATAACGATGCAGCTAATGCTGTACCAATACCAATAACAAAATATGTTACAGCATATGAATTTCGATCAGCAATAATACCTTTATTTTAAAAATAAAAAGAAAGTAAAATTGAAAATTATTCTTTTCTTTATTTCTTACCAAGTGCCGGTGGACCAATTAATGATGAAATACCTTGACAAAGAAGTAACATACCATAAGCATTGGTAAAATTTTGTGTACCAGCAAATTTAATACATAATATTGGCATTAATACTTCTTGTGCACTTTGTAAAAAACTAGTAAAAAGCATAAGTGGCATTAAAATTGAATAAGATTTAATGACAAGTGGAATGAGTAATTGAGAAAGACCGGCCACACACAATGAACAAGCATATGCATGAAGTGGAGAAATCCTATAATAAAAAAAAAAATAACAATATAATTTAATATAGTTCTGGATATAAGTAGGTATCTCCTAAAAAATACTACTATTCTATATAATATTCAGCTGATATTTTCAATGCATGCAGGATACAATTAATCCTGATCGGAAGTATCAACTCAACATACATTGATTCATATGAAATGGAGTTATGGTTCAAACGTAACACCTCAGTCGACAGGTTATCCTTGAAAATAACGAACAACTTGCGTTCGAGCTTGTATTTTGTTGATCCTGCAGATAAAATTTCTAATGGGATATGTATCATTAGTCGCTTCTTCTGAGTAATTGATCATTTTATTGAATTCTTAGCCCATTGGATGGTATTAAGAAGAAAATTTCATTAGGGATTTTTAGTCTGATACTTTACTAACAAATAGACCTTATAAATCTTATAATATCCTGAAAGTTGAAAGAAAAAACAAATGCGTCTATCTAGAGATAATAGAGTTGCAGAACCAATAGTTTCTAGCAACAGATTCGAGCAAATCTGGGTTTTTATAGAGCATACAATATCTTGAAAAGAAATCATTCAGTTTTGTTAAAAACTTACGAAATATATTAAGAATAATGAAATCTATTTGTCGATGAAATTTCACATTAACAATTTTTAATTCAATTATCTTCATTATTTTGTGGGATGATAGAATGAAAATTCAGTAAAAAGATCATAATTCAAGAAGAAATAATGGCTCAGGGCATACATCGTTTTAGAACTTTTATCTGCACAATCAGTAAAATATGAGCTCGAATGGAGATGATCAGTTAGAAAAATTGCTTCATGAGATATTATCATCTCATTAAGAATTTTTATAGAAGAGCAAATTTTGATTTTTAGTAATATATGGCTCTTTTCCATGATGACTTTAATCAATTCATTTGAAAATGTTCTCAAAAGATGACAAGTCTGTACTGTGAAAATTTTGAAATTATGAATGAAGTCGAGTTAGATTTATAATATGAGTTCACTATGTCAGAGTGTGCTAATTAATAAGATCTTGGTTACGTGTCACGAACTTTAGTAATAATAAAGTAGACATATGGGATTACCATTAACGCTAAAAAACAAAAGTAATAGCGCTGTGAAATAGCAAAATGACAAACGAAAGCTTTTTGAGTACTTATTTCCGCTGAATATGTTTTTCGACAAGAGAAAAAAATATATGTCTGAACCATAACTCCATTACATGTGAACCAATGAACAGCGAGTTGTTACTTGCAAAAAAGAGTTTATTGTCGAAATAGTTTTACACAAAATTTAATAAAGAATAATAACACTTCATAGGCAGCAAATACTTTTGTCCAGAACTGTATTTAGAGAAAATTTTCAAATTAAAACACATAAATATGCTGAAAACTTATAAATACAGAAACGAAAGTTATTTTTACATTTATTCTTTTTTAATCTAAAAGTATATCGTATTCTTTCATGTTGATTTAATGAAGCAAACAATATAATAGAAGAATTATTCAAGGATAAATACACCTTTGAAAAACAACGTTATCAATACGAATAATTCTTGTTGATGTCATCATGATAATAGGTATATATTGATAAAAAGAAAATATTTTCAAAATTAATTTTTTTTTTTTGGTCAAATTTTTAAGTAAAAAATAAATTCTTACTGATTACCTTTTAGAATCTCCCATATATCCATAACCAATTTCACCGAAAATAGCTACTATTCCAACAGAAAAAATTAAATGTGAACCTTTTTCAGATGATAAATCATTTTTTTTCATATAATCAATAAGAAATGTCCATGTTGCATCATAAAAAATTGTTATCATTGTAACACATATACAAAGTAATAAAAATGGTAATATACGTAAAACACGTAATAATTTACATACATCATGATAAATTTGTTCAAAAGCATTCTTTTTTTGTATTTCTTCTTCTTCTTCTTCCTCTTTTAAATAATCTTCAATATTTTTTGGTATTGTTAATGAACGATGACGTTTTCTACCAGCTAACATAGGTGAATATAAATTTGGTAAACTTAAACTACGATCAATTGAAAAATGTAATGATTGTAATTTACATATATTTAATACACTTTCATAATTATAAATATTTTTTGAACATAATGCTAATTGTGAAAGATTTCCTCGATTACAATGTAACGGATGATGATGATGATGATGTGATGAATGTGTACGTGTACTACCACCTGCTGTTGTTGGCATATTATGATGCTGATGATGAAATGGATAATAGAATATTAATTGTTTATTATCATGAGTAGCATTTGTTGATAAACGTCGTTGACGACGATGATGTGAACGAGATTTACGAGACATATTTGTTGTTGCTGAGGGTACATTTGAAGGATTCGTTTTATCAGGCGCTAATGGAGTTGTTTCATTCAAAAGTAAATCTCTAGAATAAAATGAATAAAATAAAAAAATATTTATTTTTCTCATGATAAATATATGTTTATATATATGAGTGAATGAATAGGCTTGTTCTTAGTTTTTGATGTAAGATATAATGTTCTAGCTGAGAAAAGAAATAGTGCAAAGAAGACCATAAGAATTTCTCATTCAAGCATTAGGAGATAGAAGCATCCAAAGATATTTATCATCATGGGATAATAATTGAAAAAGAGGCAATGGGCATAGAGTTTTTGAGCTATTATAAAAATAATTATAAGGCAAAAAAAAACAACAATACTCGTTTTACAATTATTGGCATTCTGAAGATTTTTTAAAAACTTATTCTAATTTTCTTTCTTAGATTAAAAACATATTTTGTTTGTATTTTAAAACTTACTTGCAACTATTTGATCGTTCTCCAATAATTGGTACTTCAGTTGCACGATTAATTTCATCTGTTTGTTCAATTTGATTTGTTGATGAAGATAATTTTTGTTCATTAAAATTTCTTTCTTCTTGTTCTATTCGATGTTGACGATATTCATCATCTAAATGTTCACGAACAGCTGATGGTAAACATATTTCAGATTTTGAATATTGATCTAATAATTCTTGTTTACTAAATTGATCATAAAAAAATACATCTTCCGTTATTGATGGTCTATGTTCAGGTGGAATAACATTTGATGATGATGTATTTATATTTGTTTCTTCTGGTTGTTGATTTGTTACAATAGATTGTGTTGGTTCAACTGGGGCTTCTGATTGTTCTGAAGGTGCTAATGCTGTTGATGTTGTTTCATTTCCATTTTCAGTTTCTTCATCTTCACCTAATCATATAAATAATAAGAATTTTTTTTAATAAATAAACAAAAGAAATTTACCTTCTTCTTCATCATAATCCTCTTCATCCCACTCAACTTCTCGAAATAAAGCACCAAATGCAACAATAGATAAAACAATACCAGAAAAAAGCATCATTGCACCATTCCATTCATATTTATCAATTAATTTTTGTAATACAATAGCAAATACACATTGACCAAATGCTCCACCTTTGGAACGAAAAACAAAGTTTTATTTTTTTTTTCTATAATAAATATTCAACATACCACTTATAGTCACACCAGATGCAAATGATGGTTTTGCTTCAAAATGTTCTGTTACAGCAACAACTGTTGCAACAAGTACTAGAGAATTTCCAAATGCATAACA